ATATTCCCCATACAATTGCAACCCACCCCCCATATTTTGACCCTAATGCTTCCTCTGCCCCCCCACCCCCACGTAGTGTGTCTCTGGTTTATAGTTGCTTGTTGATTTTGATTTTTACTTTGTATTAATTAGTCTTTTTCCTGGTCCCTTATTTAGGTTCAGGTTTTCTAAATCCCTGCTATGAGTGAGACCATCCAGTATTTTTCTTTTTTCTTTCTGACATTTCGCTGAGCATGATCCCTTCTAGCTCCATCCATGTTGCTGCAAACTGCATGTGTTTCTCTTTTTTGATTGCTGAGTAATATTCCATTGTGTATATGTACCACATCTTCTTGATCCAGTCGCCTATTTTGGGGCATTTGGGCTGTTTCCATAGCTTAGCTATTGTAAATAGTGCTGCTATAAACATAGGGGTGCAGGTGCCCTTTGGAATTAATGTTTCTGTGTCATTTGGGTAAATACCTAGGAGTGGAATTGCTGGATCATATGGATGTATTTATTTTAAATGAAGACAGATTAAGCTTTCCAATCAAAAGACAGAGATTGGTGAAATGAAGGAGAAAAATAAGTCAGCTCACTTTAGATCTAAAAACAGAGTCAGGTTAAAAGTGAAAATCTAATGATATTCTGTGCTAATGTTAATAAATAAAACTAGGGTATCTATAGTGACATTAGTCAAAATAGACTTTAGGTCAAAACTCTTACAAAAGGTAAAGAAGGGAATTACATATTAAGGGTGAATACAACAATAAGATATTATAATTACAAACACATGTACATAAAATACCAGAGCTCCAAAAAGATACAGCAAACATTAACAGAATTGAAAGGCTAGACAATTGTGCAATAAAAGTTGTAGTCTATAATATTCCACTTTCAATAATGGATAGAAGAACTACATAGAATATCAATAAGGAAACAGAGGACTTGAACAGCACTCCAGATCAACTGGACGTCACAGATTATGGAGAACACTACAATGAACTATAGCCAAAAACACATTCTTTTCAAGAGCACATCGAATACCTTACAGTATAGATCATTTGTTAGGTCACAAAGAAAGTTTCCATATATAAAAACCCACAGCTAACATAATAGTGAAGGAGTGAAACTTTTCCTCTAAGATAAAAAAACAAGAAAACGATGCCTACTGTCATTACTTCTATGTGGCTTTAGAAGTATTAGCCAGAGTAATCATGCAAGTAAAAGAAATAAAAAGTATCCAATTAAACAGGAAGAACTAAAGTTATTTTTGCTTATAGAAGATATGATTCTTATATGCAGAAAAACTTAGATTCTACCCGCCACACACAAAAGAAACCACTGGAGGGGGCCTCCCCAGTGGTGCAGGGGTTAAAGACAGCGCAAACAAGCTATCATACCAGCCATAGCAGCATGAGTTCAATCCCCACCAGCTAGGGAGCAACCCACACGGTGCAGCAGACCTCTCCTGCCTTGCCCACTGTTCCCCTCAGCAGTATATTTCAGTATATCTTCCTGTTCTACTCCCCAGTCTGTCTCTGGTGAATCCTCTGACCCCTCTCCCCACCCCCACTCCCACCCCCACCCCACAACTCTGGTCTACACCCCAGTTCTTGCATGCATAAATAAATAAATCTTAAAAAAAAAAATAAACCATTTGAGTCAATAACTCCATCAGTTACAAATTAACATAAATTTCATTTGTATATATACACTAATAATGAGCAATATGTAAAGGAAATTAAGAAAATAATTCATTTATACCAGCATCAAAAATGATAATTATGGGGCCTCCGCTGGTGGCTCAGGTGGTTGAGCACAGCGCTGTGAAGCTGTTCACAGCCTCTGCAGTACTGGTTCAATCCCAGCCTGCAAGGGTCCCACACGGTGAGGCAAACCTCTCCGGTTGTACCCGCTGCTCCCCTCAGCAATGTATTTCGTCAGTCTACCTGTTCTGTTCCCCGCTCCGTCTCTGGTGAATCCTCTCACCCTCCTGCGAATCTGGCCTGTACCCCAGTTCTTGTATAAACAAATAAATAAATCTTAAAAAAATGATAATTATGGATAAATTTAACAAGTCAAAGACTTGTACACTAAAAACTACAAACATTGCTATAGGAAAATAAGGAAAGCTTAAGTAGGAATAGACATCTTATATTCATAGATTGGAAGACTTAATATTTTTATGTCAAAGCAATCTGCATATTCAATGCAATTCTTATCAAAATCCTACTGACTTTAAAAAAGGAAAAATAGCAGGACCTCCCCTAGTGGCGCAGATGGTTGAGCACCGTGCTGTGAAGCTGTCTGCAGCTTCTGCAGCAATGGTTCAATCCCAGCCGGCCAGCGAGGGTCCCACACGGTGCAGCAGACCTCTCCAGTCTCACCCTCTGCTCCCCTTAGCAGTGTATTTCGTCAGTCTTCCTGTTCTGTTCCCTGCTCTGTCTCTGGTAAATCCTCTCACCCTCCTGCAGATCTGGCCTGTATCCCGGTTCTTGTATAAATAAGTAAATCTTTAAAAAAAAAAAAATCCATCCTAAAATGTTTGTGGATTTTCAGGGGATCCCCAAATAGGCAAAAATTTTTTGAACAGAACAAAGTTGAAAGATCCATATTTCTTGATTTTAAAACTTACGACAAAACTACAGTAAAAAAGACTGGTATTAGCATAAGGACAGACATATGGACTGAAGGAACAGATTGCAGAAACCATAAATAAGCCCTTTCATGAAGGACTGATATTCAGCAATGATGCCAAGGACCAGTCAACAGGGAAACAAATATTTTCCACAGATCTGGAAAAACTGGGTATACACTTGCAACAGAGTGAAGTGAACCCTTACTTTACACCATAAGCACAAATTAACTCAAATTGGATTAAAGGTTAAAACTAGAAAACCTTTAGAAGAAAAAGGGAAAAAGCTTCATGACAATGGGTTTGACAATGATTTCTTAAATATAACACCAAAGTAGAGGGAACAAAAAACAAAATAGATAAATCCAATTTCATTAAAATTAAAAACTTCTGTGCTGCATAAACAAGATAACCCACAGAAAGGTACAAAATAATCGCAAATCTGATGAGGGACTGCTATTCAGAATCTACAAAGAACACCTAAACTCAACAACAAAATGAAAATCCCAATCACAATGAGCTACATACTACATCATAACTATGAGGACAGACGTCATTAAAAAAAAATGGGAGATACCAACACCCCAGTATCAAAGAAATAGGTAAAACATTTGGCATTGCTGCTAGAATGTAAAATGATTGTGAGAAACAATTTATTCAAAAGCTAAAACAATTACCATATGATAAAGCAACCCTACCTCTAGGTGAAAACCCAAAAAGATTTAAAACAAAGATGCCAGCAGATACTTGCATACTGATGTTCATAAAAGCATTATTCAAAATAGTCAAAAGGTGGACAAAACCCAAAAGGCCATCAAGAATTGGATGAATAGGGCCTCCCCTGGTGGCGCAATGCAGTTGAGTGCAGTGCTGTGAGGCTGTCTACAGCCTCTGAAGCACCAGTTCGATCCCTGTGGACTGGCCTGGGTACCACATGGTGCAGCAGACCTCTGTCTTGCCCGCTGCTCCCTTCAGCAGTGTATTTCGGTCAGTCTGCCTGTTCTGTTCCCTGCTCTGTCTCTGGTGAATCCTCTCACCCTCCAGGGCATCTGGCCTATACCCCAGTTCTTGTATGCATGAATAAATAAATCTTTAAAAAAAAAAATTGGATGAATAAACAAAAGAGGGTGTGTATGTGTTTATCTGTTCATAAACATGTGTATGTATACATATGCACACACAATGAAACATTGTTTGGCCATGAAAAGGAATGAATTACTGACACAAGCTACAACATGAAACTTGAAAACATTATTTGAATAAAGAATTCAGGTACAAAATCTACCTAGCACATGGTCCCACTCATAGAAATATCCCAAATAGAGAAACCTATTGAGACAGAGTAGATTACTGGTTACTTAAGGTAAGATGGGGACAATGGAGAAAGATAACTAAAAGGTACAGTTGTTTCTTCTGGATGTTGTACATATCTGCAAGTATATATACATAGGTATACATACCTACATATGTATACACATACTAATTGTATATATCTGTGAAAACCAACTGTAATTGAGTTGTATGCTTATAATTTAGGTTCGCTGGTATGTGAACTATATCTCAAAGCTGTTCTAAAAGTCATGAGAACTCTGAAAAACTAGCACCATGACATAATCAGCATAAAACTAGCAGCATGACATAATTAGCCATGTCCCCCAAATCTGGAATTACCATAATCTATCTTCCTCCTGGAGCATCACACTAAATTGCTGAAAGTTCTACCACAAGAAACTAATGTTATCTACCCCAGCATTTCCAAGGACATTTGGCCATGAAATATCAGCATCTCATCTAGCCATCTTCCAGAAGACTAAATGGTCGGGCATCATCGCATGCCTAGGGAGATGCTTGATAAAGGATAACTGACAATGGAATGGGGAATGCACTTCATGGGTCCATCACTGCATGTGTTGAGCAACTAGTAAAGGCAACAACACAAACATTTAAGAGGGTCCTTATCCAAATTTCTATTTGGTGTATAATTTTCTTTCTTTTTTTAAAAGATTGATTTGTGCATACAAGAGCTGAGTTGTAGGCCAGGGGTGTGGGGGTGTGAAAGGATTCAGCAGAGACAGAGTGGGGAACAGTACAGGCAGATGTACTGAAATACATTCTGAGGGGAGCAGCAGGTGAGATAGGAGAGGTCTGCTGCGCCATGTGGGTCACTTCCCTGGCCGGGGATCGAACTTGTGCTGCAGTCACTGCAGATTGCTTCACAGTGCTTAACCCCTTGCACCACCAGGGAGGTCCCTGGTGCAGAATTTTCTAAAAAGTAGAAAGGAGATACGGGCACAGGAAACACAGACTCTCAGATGAGAGTGAGACAAAAGCTGCTATAATGCTACCTCCACCACCAGGAAAAGACTGAGACATCCAGCCCTACCTTCGCTGCAGGACAAACTCACATTGACTCCAGGGACCAACCTGGCAGCCTCTGGGGAACATGGTTGTTATCTCTCCACCACTTGCAGTCCTTAGAGGCATCCCTCCGTGTTCTGCCTGGGATGCTAAGACCTGAAGATACTGAGCAGAGCCCTAAAGAATGAGGTGACAAAGTTTGTAAGTTCAATGACACAAATCCTACATCCCTAGAAAGAAAGCAGGAAGGGCTTCAAGATTATTCAATATTCCAAAGGTTTCAAACCTTTAGTTTTCTCTTATAAACAAAAATGAACTACAAACAAAACTTATGGGAAAAAAACTACTAATAAAACTTATGGGAACTAAAGTGAATGTCAAAGCGGGAAACAATACAGATATTGGTAAATGGTATAAAGCCTGAACGCATTTCAGAATGCCATTTATAAGAATGTAGGGCTCACAGCTGAAAAATTTTCAGCAAAATTTCTAGATTGAGTATTAACAATAGTGGGCCTCCCCTGGTGGCGCAGCGGTTGAGCACTGGGCTGCAAAGCTGCCCGCAGCCTCTGCAGCATGGGTTTGATCCCCGGCCACTGGCGAGGGTCTCACATGGCGCGCAGACCTCTCCTGCTGCCCGCTGCTCCCCTCAGCAGTGTATTTCGTCAGTCTGCCTGTTCTGTTCCCCACTGTGTCTCTGGTGAATCCTCTCACCCTCCCGCGCATCTGGCCTGTACCCCAGTTCTTGTATACATAAATAAATAAATCTTTTTTTTTTTTTTAAAAAGAGTATTAACAATAATACCTTTGAAAAGTAAAGTATCCTTTTCAGAAATTTTCTAGAGAAAAAGAAACTGAAGATAATATGGGAGGAAATGTATTAGACCTCAGAATACAAAGGCTGACTCTGACCCAAAGCAGGCACAATGACCTGGGAACTACAGAAATATAAGTTTTTGTTCCCCCTCCACCTACACTCTAGACTCACCAAATTAGAATCTGCATTTAACAAGATCCCTAGGAGACAGATGTGCATGTTAAAGTTTAAGAAGTACTATCTTCAGACATTTAATATTTAACTACGTCCAAACTGAAATTTGCTTGATCTCTTCAGGAAAATAAGTGAATTCATATGGACTTACTTATTGCTGAGTCAACCCACACCATCAAAAACCTACTGACTCCCTTATCTGAGTCTCTGCTAACTGTTTTCCTGTCCCTTTAATTTAACTCCTACCAGCCTTGAGAGGAACAGAATCCACTTCACAGGCAAGAAAGAAAAGGAAAAGTTTTTACTGAATAAATATGAATAAACTTCACAAAAAGTTCAGGAACTTATCAGGTATGGGATGGGTTAGGACTTCATGGGTCATTTCCAAGCCATGAATTCTATACAATGTAAGTAAATATGAGACATCATACCAATTTTGGGTTTGACCATGCCAACTGCCAAGTGTGCTTGTATCTGTCCTGAGTGGGTTTGGAGGAGCCCTGGGGACCCAGTCAACTTTTTTTTTTTAAGTCTAATGAAAAAGAACGAAGCAGCCAAACAACAGACTATTCTCACACATTCTCCCACCCTCCTAGGGTCCTACAGAGCCTCAGACTGTTCTAAGTGACACTTAGTCCTGTTCTTGACCTGCCAGTTAGGCAATAACTCTAGCAGACAGTCACTGCTGAGTTTTCAGCCCAGCCACCAGAAGTGCAAGGGGTTACACGGCTCAGCACATAGACCCTGAGCTGGGCAACTTTTGAACAAAGCATACTTCTCAAGTTGTGTGATCCTAAGATTACCTGGTTGCTTTATCAAGACATAGAATTCCAGGGTCCAGCCCCAGAAACAATATCTAATAGACGGGAGCAAGGCCTGGGATGTATATTGGGAGGAGCAAGACTTGGGTCACTCCCTATACATTCATCCTTCTGGGCACTATAGGACCTAACACCCACTTCTGAAAGAAAGGGAGGGGCACCTGTTCTCATCTCTGCATGTTCCCTAAAACATTCTTACCAAGTCACAGACACCAAGAGGATGATCTGCTATTGGGGACCAGAGGGTTGAGCATGAGTAAATTTGGATTATAGCAGAAATGTCACCAAACTCCAAAATTCAAAAGATGCAATGTTCACTGAAAGTTCAGAAACCCAGTTTTGGGGTATTACTTAAATGATGGCTCAGAGATGAACTGGTGATGGAAATCCTTCAAAAACACTAAAAATAACTCCCATTTTTATTCTTTCATTCTGGTATTCCTCTAACACCTAATGAAGCAATAGTGAAATTAATAGGAATGCTACTTAGCAAGTTCTTCGACAGTCAGCATTCGCTAATCTGGTACAGTGCCACATAGCACCCATAATCTCTATTTCACTGGTACAGGAGCCAGGAGTACAACAGGGACTCACCCCTCAATCAGGCCCAGTCATGCCTCAGGGTATGGCTGTCTAGATCCCCAAATCTTAAATAAGTGTTCTGTGAGTCTTTAACACCTTTATGCTCTTGAGGCCAGAGAAGAAAATGCCCATAAGCTACCTCTCCCCTGCCCAATCTCCCAACATAGTAGGGAGTGATGAGACCTACTCCCACCACACACAGAGACAACCCCCAAAAGGAACTGAAAGCGAAGCAGAGACATGCACTTTACTAAAGGCAGTGTTGTCCCACAGCCAATCTAGCCAGACTTTGAAGCTCAGCACTTGGACATCAACATGTCAAAATCACACAAACATAAAAAAAGAAGACCTCTTTTCCACTTGGCTGGGGCCAAGCCACCAGGGAGCACAGACAGCAGCCTCCAGGACAGCAGTCACCTCAGTGTACCTCCAACAGACTTCTATCCACACCTCAGCAGAGCTCCTGCTGTCAACTGACAGATGCTGCTCATCAGAGGCCCGTTCATGGTGATTTCTGTTTTTCTTAAGGGCAAGCACAAGGCAGTCGCCCCTGTGTTTGCAGGAATTTGTTGAACATCATCAAGGGTACGGATCTCCCCACAACCCTTCATTCACCCAAGTCAACTGATAGGTCCTTTCTATCAAGCGGAAGGATTTTGGAAAAAAGACAAAGTGATGAGATGCATTTATCCTGAGACTTTTATACCAGATTAGATGTGTTATCAGAGTTTTGAGTTCAGGCAGGCCTTGGTATTCCACTTTCTACAGAGAAAAAGGTCCCGTTTCCCTATCTGTTCCGTTCCCCAGTGGCTCCCACACTCACTGCCCACCACTTGGCTGAGAGATAAAGGCCCATTTATCTGGGTGCAGTTATTACTTGTTACATATTAAACAATGAAAAGATTAGAAGTGGTTACATAACACATCTGACAGTTAACATCCACAGAGAACTAGACAGGGAGCTGCCTGGAACCCCTGGGTCCCAAAAGGCTATGGCAAGTGGTAGCTACTGATTACCAGGTCCTGTCCAGATCCTCCAGTATAACTTTCTTGGCTGGAGAGTAGATGAGGACAACCAGTCACAGGATTGGGTGGCGGGGAGGGGGGTGCCAGTGGCTCCTGCATCCATGCCTAGCTCACAGTATCAACCCACTGTAAGATATTGCCACACAATTCACCAGAGCTCAGGCACTCGCACAGACCTAAGCACCCCCAAACACAGCTGGATATGCTGCAAAGCAGAAAAGCCAGAAGCCATCCCAGCAAGTGTAGGACCCAGCCCTTTCTCCCAAGTATGCCTGATGTGACCCACCCCCATTACTCTGTGTGCTCAGAGGACCACACGGCAGGGCCCTGGCAGCCCTATTTGTAACCACACTCCTTAATTTCAAGGGGATGGCACTTCTGAAGAAGACAAGAGAAAAGCATGCCTGATTCATGTGCACTATAAACCCCAGAACCAAACCCCACATAACTGGTAACACCCTATGACCTTGCCCAACAAGCAGGGCCCTTGTTTACTGGGCCACAGTTCTCAAGGCAATCCCCAAAACACCCCTTCTCCCTTCATTACTCTGTCCTCCTCACAAGCCACTTCTACCCTGATGGGTAAGGACACAAACACCAGCCACTCTCAGAGTTTACAGCTTCAGTTCAAAATATATCCCAGGCCCAAAGGACCTGAGTTTCCAGCTTGAAGGGACCCCTGACATACCCCTGTAATTAATGAAAAACTCCAATAAGGCACATCCTCAAGAAATTTCCAAAGATACAAAGAAAATATCCTACAAGCTTAAAAATAAATAAATAAATAAATAAATAATAAAGGCCTCCTTGGTGGTGCAAGGGGTTAAGCGTCAGCACTATCAAGCTATCACCAGCCACTGCAGCATGAGTTCAATCCTCAGCCAGGGAGCTGACCCACATGGCGCAGCAGACCTCTCCTGTCTCACCGGCTACACCGCTAAGCAGTGTGTTTCAGTAGATCCACCTGTTCTGCTCCCCACTTTGTCTCTAGTGAATTCTCTCACCCCACTCCCCACACCTCTGGCCTACACCCCAGTTATTGTATGCATAAATAAACAAAAATAAATCTTAAAAAAAGAAAACAATGAAGTATAATACAAAAAACTGAGACTCAGATTAGCTTCATCTTCAACCCCATCTCCAATTTATAAGTCTATATTTGGACAAACTATTAGCTGTCAGAGTAGAACAAGAGTATTTTCAGACATACATGTTCTCAGAACTTAGCATGCGCCTGTATTTTGGAAGCTATTATAGAATATTCTTCATCAAATTTTAGGAAGAAAAGAGGAAGTCATTAGATAGAGAAAGGCAAAGGACATCTCCAGGATGGAGACAGAAGATCCTGAAATGACAGCTGAGCATCCCCAGGATGACAGAGAAGGAAGACTCCAGAATGATGGAAGAGCATCCCCAGGATGATGGAGAAGAAAGATTTCAGGACAGAAGCTAAGCAAAGAGCCTCAGGGGCACCAGGTTTAATGTGGGCCAAAAGGCACATGAGAAATTGCTTGCAAAAGTTAATGTTGGCACAATACTTGGTGTCTGAAATGAGATTTGCACAACAGTGCCTATTTGGAGTGTGGGTAGAGGTAAGGAGAGATAAGTACATAAGCTAAGCAAATGCAAAAACAGCTCCAGGAGAAAACAAAACACCCTAGAATACACAAAAAGTGATCATAATAAACTATATGGCTCAGCTAGGAGTAGAAGTTAGAGACTGTCACATTCTGCAACGCATGTTGGTCCAGCAGATCTTAGCCAACGGCAAAGCAGGTAGTGCAAGTGTAACATGGGAATGGACAGAGGGTTTACTCCTCACCTTCCAAGGATGAATGTCAAAGAATCAT